CATGCGGGTTTCCTACCCTACCTCGTAGTGGCAACAGCAACAGTCAGCTAAATGGCATTTAGACACTGTGCCTTTGGTTGAAGTGGTTGCAACGCAAACCGTTTATAAGCTATTAAATAAGTGCGACTCTGGTTAATGTTAAATGGCGCGCTGGACCTCAATAGTGGATGCAGTAAATGAAATAATTCGCGAGCGAAGCGAGCGAGATTTTTTTAGTCATACAGCCTGAATTTTTGTCCATTTAATGCGAGAAACACAATAAGGGATAGGTAACTTTCCCCATTCCTAGAATACTACTTGTAAGTCCGCCTAAGCCCAAAGGAAACTTGCACTTCTGAGCGAAGTGAGGTGGAAGCAAAACCCGTGCATTTTATACCATTTTCTTCTAATTTTACAAGGTAAATAGGAAGTATTATTGTTCTTAGACCGCAGATAATATTGAGAATAGACATACTCGCGGTTAGGAGGGAGCAAAGTCGCTTTGTTTTGAGTGAGTTTGGTATGAAAGTGACCTGCAGCCCTGTTGGACAAGTACATGTTTAAATGCGAAGTAAGTGTGTGGCCATTCGGGCCCCGGGGGGCCCCAAGGGGCCCCCGAGGGCCAGGGGCCGCAACCGTAATTCTCGGTCTCACGGGCGGGCCAGTCCGCCCCTGGCCCCTCGTACGCCATAGAGGCGAAAGAGGAGTCAGACTCCAGCAACACCACCTCATTTCTCATCCGAGACAATTATTAATACTAGCCAACAGGGTTGATAAGAGATTTTGTTTATTTTGTATTTTTTAGCCCGCTGCTTTGAAAAAGCTATCAATAGGGCTTATGCAAACGACCTCGTGTGTGTCTGTCTGGCTGTCTGTCTGTCTGTTCCACTAGAGGGAGATGTGCAAGAGACTTGAAATTTTCAGGGTATCTTAAGGTCCACTCCTAGCGAACGAAACGCCTACGGCAAATCCTGGCAACCACCCCTAAGGTTGTGAATGGGGGTATCCAAGGCTCAAAATTCTCCGTTTTGATCTATCTCTAACCGTTTGAGCGCTAGAGGGTCTTTTTTGACGAAAATAAGCTAAAAATTGCCATAGTTAACAATAAGTTGTAGAAAAAGGCCTAAAAACCGCAAAATAGAAAGGAAACCCTAGACCCCCCACCCCCAAAAACGTTTTCTTAGCAGAAGGGTGGGTTCTAGTCGCGGTGCTGCACCGTTACATCCCTTTCTCGAGTCTTTGGGGCAAACTCAAAGATGACGGGTTTAAGCGGGCCGAACGCCCGCTACATCAGTCGATCATGTTCTTCAGCAAATCGCGTGACAGAAATGGTCGCGCCACAGGCCCGACCATCGCCGCCGGCGGGGCCAAGCAGGCCCGGCCCCTGCCGAACGGAGTTGCCAGCGGAGCGAAGCAAGCGGAGCTGGCAACTTCGTTTGGCGGAAGGGCGGGCCTGCTTGTTTAATTAAATGTCAATTTTTTTGTTTATAGGAAAATAATTAATTTTCATGTAAAAATCCTGTTTGATTTCGTTTTTTATGTTCGTGCGTCCCGTAGCAAAATAATTTCCCGCAGGCAAACTGTACTGTTAATAAATGAAAGTCCATCGGGATAGTGAGGCAACAAGCTTTAGGTACCATGTAGTATTTTTGTAGAATTTGTACATCGTTCCATTTTGCCGACTTTTGTTACGTTGCGTCTTACGTTACGTCTTACGGTATTTTGTAGAATTTGTACAACGTTCCAATTTGCCGACTTTTTATGACTTACAAGCCATTGTGGAAACCCGCGTCAGCAAAATGTCCGAGCGTCACGCAAATACGCTGGCCTATTAATTTCGAACGAGGCCTCCTACAGCAATGGCAGGAATATCAAAAAATCGTCCACTAAATTCTGCGAAGAATTGCATTTTTGTCAGAATTTTAGGTCCTGTTAAAGTGGTTCAAATACGCCAATAACTCGAGTGTCCGTTTGTCAAGCGTGGTTTTGCCCTTACCTTAGGTTACGTTAGGTAAATGTTACGGAATCAGAGTTCTGTCCCAGACGGAATCTGAGTACCGTCCCGAACAGAATCTGAATTCTATCCCGGACGGAATCTTAATTCTGTCCCTGACAGAATTGGAATTCCGTCCCGGACGGGATCTGAATTTTGTCCCTGACGAAAATAGATTTTCGATAGGATAAATTAGGTTACATAAAGATAGTAGATATTAATGTTTAAAGTTTGCCTTCCAAAGTCTTTCAAAACTTACTTTCCTTGTTACGTTAGTCAAGGATACTGAATCTGAATGCCGTTGAGGACGGAATCTAAATTCTATCCCGGACGGAATCTGAATTCCGTCCCTTACAGAATCTGAATTCCTGTCCGGCCGGAATCTGTATTCTAACCCGGCTGGAATCTGAATTCCGTCCCAAAAGACATCAGAAGAGGACTTGCTCCGTTTTTACTCCGACTAATGTGTTTCGGACAGTTTCGGATGGCTACATTTTGTAATGTATTGACACAACAAGATATTCTGTGTATAGCTAACCTGTCAATAGTCTCTTGTGAACCCTTTACAACCCTGTCGGGTTGACCAATAAACCAGATCGAAACGAGACGTTCATAGGTCAGGACTCCTGTTGTCCCTCTCTCTCCGACCATCTCCGATACGAGAGTGTTCCTAGTAACCCGGACATTACAGTGGCGACGAGGATGAGATTTTTAAAACATTATTTGCACAGGTCAAAAAAATTGTTTTAACTTTTACAGTCTACAGCTAGAGCTACAGCTTGATAAACAAATCGCTACTAAATAACAAGGCAAACACTTTGAGGAATTAAAGTACACCTGTGACTATATGCTATATTGCACGATAAGTGGTAGCGTTGGTCCAGGGGGACGAACGATTGTTTATCGGAACATTAAGTTTGACTACTCAGGCAATTTTAACCAAGCAAGCACGTGTAGGCTATGCCAGACACCAACAATGCGCAAATACAAGGAACAGAGTTTCGTCACGGTGACGTCAAAATGATGTCGAAATTACATCAAAAGGTCCTACGTCATTGTGACGTCACAAGAATTGGAAAAATGACGTCATAATGTCGTCACGTGACGCCGATATGATGTTTGCACAAAATTTGCACCCGCACGTCCAAATGACGTCAAAATAACTATAAATGTACAATATGTCCATATTTTAGTAAAATAGACGGTGCCTACCGAGGTCAAGGTAAAAAGTTAAAATAAAAAAGGTTGTTTGAAGAAAACTTCTCGATTTTTTTTTATTTTTGACAGCACACTCAACATTGCAACATTGCAAAACAACAACAAAACTAACATTTGCGCACTAATGTGACCGTCCTTGACAAACACATAGTCTTTCAAATAATAACTTAAATGCACTTTGGCCAAATTATTTGGACACGTAAACCAACAACGGCAACAGCTTTAAAGTTGGCGACAAAACATAGCAAAAAACAAATACAAAACAATTACTGTATCATTATTCAGTGAATCAAACGGCACTATCAGCTTATAGTAAGGTTTTCGGACGTTCTTTTCCTGATCAAAATTGCGCTGGCCACTGATGCACAGCCACCTCTTCAAGGTGATTTCAAATTCTAACAAATTTGTGTCTCTGTCAATCAGTTGACAGACAACGCCTGAAACAAAGGTTAAATAAGAGGATTTGGAAGTAGATAACATTACAAGTACACAAACTGCAGGAATTTGCTTGAACTTACATTGCAAGAATT